CTTTTAGTACACATACCCAGAATATCTCACTATTCTCTAAGCAAGTTTTGCATTGTGGTACCTTGATAACACTAAGTATTTTGATATGTTAATTAACCTCTTAATCGGTTTCAAATCCATTGAGAAATAGAAATGAGAGTCAGCTATGGATTAAAATATCAGCATTTCATTTTATTTTTTTTGGTAGAAAAAGCTGGATTGGTCCTGCCGCCAGAATCAGGATAATTATTTTCCTACCCTCAACCCAAGTCTAGACATTGAAATTTGAATGAGACGCAAGTCAGATCTACACAGCAAACCATAAGTGAACCGATTACCAGTCAATGAGATTAGGTTCAGCTGAAGAGAACTGCAAACTCTAACAATACATTGACTTACATTATAAAGAAGCAGGCACTTCAAGCTGGTATGTAACTCCACAGTGTCATCAGAGGCCCATGCTTCTAAATATTTCCACTGTGTTATGCTTAGCACCTGACTTTCATCCTTGGAGTCACCTCATAGTCCAAGACAGTTACTGGGGCTCCAGCAATTTCATTTGCATTCCAGACAGCAGTAGCAAAGGTGTAAGGAGCCTTCTCAGAAGTCCCCTTAGCTATATCATGGACCAGAACATTTCACTAAGTTGCACTTAGCTTTGAGAGAAGCTAAGAAGTATAGTTTTAGTCTGAGCAATAATTTGCTCACCCCAAAACGGGTACTCTGGTACTAAGGATAAAGAAGAGAATGAATGTTCTGTTGAGCAACTGGTAGTCTGCCACGGTTATCTAACTGCCCAGTCATGCCTTTTCTTGCCTCTGTCAAGCTCAGAGAGCCCCAAGATTGTGACCCAGGCTTGCTTACCACACAGCACAGCAGCAGTGGGAGAGAAAGGGTCCAGAGAAAGCCAGGAATGGGCTGAGTGACATGCCCAGTGTTCTTTTCCAAAACTCAACAGTTGGGTAAATCACATTCCTTCTATGGGGAGGAATAAGTACACATGGTAAGAGGGCCCAGAACAGAGATCCACTGATAGAATCGAGGCCCTGTTTACCCTGACTGCACCTTTACCCGGCTCTCTTCTACTTGGCCAACACTGTCTGTTGTTGTTGTTGTTGTTGTTGTTGTTGTTGTTGTTATTGTTGTTTTTGAGACAGAGTCTCACTCTGTTGCCCAGGCTGGAGTGCAATGGTGTGCCCTCGGCTCGCTGCAACCTCCGCCTCTTGGGTTCAAGAGATTCTCTTGCCTCAGCCTCCAGAGTAGCTGGGACAACAGGCATGCATCACAACACCCAGCTAATTTTTGTATTTTTAGTAGAGACGGGTTTTCGCCATGTTGGCCAGGCTGGTCTCGAACTCCTGGCCTCAGGTGGACCACTTGCCTCAGGTTCCCAAAATGCTGGGATTACAGGCATGAGCCACCGTGCCCACCATGCACTGTCTTACTCAACAGTTCCAACTAGTAAATGCTGACCTGCTATCTAACTCTAAGCTTATATGTCATTTTTCCTTAGGCACCCTTCGTGATCCACCTACCAATCCCCAAACTGGTCTCTGTCCTTCCATATTAGTGTATTAAGACTAAAAGTATGACACTTTCACATGCTACTAGAACTCACTTTCTATGCTTCTTTCTTCTCCTTCTCCTATACATATACCAAACAATGCAGTTTTTGAGGACAGGAGTTAGTTTTATTTCCCTTTGCATTTTAGTTCCTGATATATAGTATCTGATACTTAAGAGACACCCGAATGTTAACTGCATTAATAATGCTGAGACTTATCTCTTTTCCTTGTCTCCCTACCTTAAAGATAAAGAAACCGAGATCTTGAGAGGTTGAAGGGCTTAGTATATAGTAACAATGGGCATCTGTGTTCATTAAAACCTCCTTGTGTTCTAGGCACTTTCATAAGGTGTGTTTTCATTCTTCTTCATTCTCTTACCAACCTAGTAAAGTACCTATTGTTATCCCCATTGTACCCTGAGGTTAGTTGGCCAGGCTGTGATGTGAGGAAGTGGCTGAGCTAGGATTTCAACCTTGGTCTTTTCTGACTTTACTTTTATTAAGTTTTATTTATTTATTTATTTTTGAGACAGGGTCTTGCTATGTTGCTCAGACTGGTTGTGAACTCCTGGGCTCAAGGGATCCTCTTATCTCAGCCTCTCAAGTAGCTGGTATTACAGGTATGCATAACCATGCCCAGTTACTTTTCTATTTTTGAAATAGGGTCTCGCTTTGTCACCCAGGCTAGAGTGCAGTGGTGCAAACTTGGCTCACTGCAGCCTCAACGACCAGACTTAAGCGATCTTCCTGCCTCAGCGCCCCAAGTAACTGGCATGTGCCACCATGCCTAGCTAATTTTGGAGGTTTGGGTTTTTGTTTGTTTGTTTTCTTTGTAGAGATGGCTGATTGCCCAGGCTGGTCTTGAACTCCTAAGCTCAAGCCATCTGCCTGTCTTGGCCTCCCAAAGTGCTAGACGTGAGCCACCGCACCTGGTCAACTTCTCTTACTTTAATCTCTGGGTCAGCATAGCACGGACTAGGGAAGAGCTGGGATCAGGTTTTCTGACTTTACATTTCACCCAAAGAGATTTGAATCTTATCCCCTTTTCTTTCTCTGCTTTGTTGTAATGCAATAATCATTTAATAGTGCTTATTAAGACAAGGCATCCTTATTAGAGATACATATGCCTTTCAAGGTTAGCAGTTTCCTACTGATGGTGGTGCACATCTGCTCAAGCCCATTCTTGCACTCTTGCCTAAGTCTCCAAGAACTACTTATTATACAAACAACAGTTGGAAAGAAAATCAGTCTAATGTTGAAATTTCACCAGGGAACTCAGTGGTCATTCGGGTTAATGCTTGTCAGAAAAGGATACTCCAGGAAGACACCACCAATTAGCATTGGCTCTTTGAAAGGTTGAGGGTTGAAACCAGTTAAAGAAAGTGAGGTACAGGCTTCCCCAAACTCTTCGTATTATAAAAGCTGAGACTTCAGGTATTTGGGGTTGGTTCGGTTGGTTCAGAAGGAGAAAATGGTTAGTCCATCAGAGGGAGCCAGGATGAAATTCACAGCTACTTAGTTCCCCTTCAAGAGAAGACACATCTGTATTTCCTTAAGTCAACACTTTTGACAGAAAACTGCATTCATCACACAAGACTTCTTCCCAGATGGCTAACCATGCTTCTGCAGTTATCTAGGAAAAAGAGAGAGAATGAGATATTGAACTGTAAATATTTCCTCTGCTCCAAGGTCTTCTAATCCTTGGTGTCCTAAAATATAAGGTTCTTAGAGTATTTCCATCATGTGGTGGTAGGCATTGCCCTGGTTCTTGAGATCAAATCCTTTTGATCAGAGAGTATTATCCTTCAGATACCCTGCTGTCCTTGGGCTTTAAACTAGTAGCAAAAACGGCACTAGAGGCTTCGACAACAGGTAGAGAGAAAGTGAACGGGGAAGAGGAAACAAGATATCATGGAGATAGAATCATCTTACGTGATCAGACCATTTAACTGTACCTGAAAATGCGGGTCCAGGTCTGTTTGCTGTATTAAATGATTTAAGCACAGTAAGAAACACATATCATATTCCAAGCCAATGCATCCATGTGAATACACATGCACACACACGTCACAACCTGAGGTAGTGGATGAAGGAGTGTGTGATGATTACAGCACAACCTATGGAGTCAGACCTACAATCGAGCCCCACTTAAACCCCCAAAATAATTTTGAAGAACTATATACCCCATCACCTACTAAAAGTTGTTGTCTAAATGTTTTTCTCACAAAATGTAAATACTTGCAAAGACTGTAATTTCCAGTTTGTTGTAAAAATGCTTTAAAAATGTTTCTATCAAAATCTTGGAACTACAGCTTCAGCTCAAATTTGTGGAAAGTGTCCATTATGTAACCTAATAGCCAAAGCCATTCCTCACTGTCTCACCCATCAGGCTAATCAGATATAACTCCTTGGTGGAAAAAAGTCAGCATTTTGCAATTCAAATAAACAATAAATGCAGCAGGCTCCTTATCCCTGACATCCGTTGCCCTTCTGAATTCTCTGAGGCAGCATGAGAGATGGACGAGAGAGAGGGGTGAAAGCCTTGCCGTGAGTTTGTGCCTGGTTGAAATAAGGCCTTGTTCCCAACAGACTTCATCACAGGAACAAGGCTTTCCCAAATTATCCCTTGATTTGGCAGCTGGGAGTCTATATCCCCTGGCCCAGGCACTTTCAAATACTTGAAATGTGGCCAGCACGATGGCTCATACCTCTAATCACAGCACTCTCGGAGGCCGAGGTGGGTGGATCACCTGAGGTCAGGAGTTCGAGACCATCCTGGCCAACATGGTAAAACCCTGTCTCTACTAAAAATAAAAAAGATTAACTGGGTGTGGTGGTGCACTTCTGTAATCCTAGCTACTTGGGAGGCTGAGGAAGGAGAATTGTTTGAACCCGGGAGGAGGAGGTTGCAGTGAGGCAAGATCGCACCACTGTACTCCATCCTGGACGACAGAGCAAGACTCCATCTCAAAAAAAAAAAAAAGATTTGAAATGGATGAGAAATATGTCTTTTGTTTGTAAAGTGGCAGGAGTACAGTTGTGAAGGAGGAAATGAGAAGGGAGAACTAACTGGCAGATCTCAGCTAAGCCAGTTTTGGGAAGAAGTGCATCTAGAACTTGAGGATCTGAAAACTGATTCTCCTAATTGTGACTTGAACTCCCAAGAAAGTTTGCAAGTAGCCTTGGGTACTTGAAACCACTGTTCTAAGCCGTCAGTGTCCTCATCTGTAAAATGCAAATAATGAGTATCTACCTCCAAAGATGGCTCTAAAGAAAAAAGATGGCTCAAAATGAAGTACTTGGTGAAGTCCTTGGTGCACAATAAGCACACACAATGTGTTCACTATTGTCATTGTCATTGCTGTTATTATTCAACTCCTCTACTGGTTAACAATGTAATTTCTCAATGTGTTAAGTAATCCTTGGGCCCAATGCTAACACCTTGTTTATATTTTAGGCACCAGTTTTCAGGCCTCAGGATACAATTTCAACACCTATGACTGGAGGAGTCCAAAACAGAGAGGCAGCTTGTCCCCAGTCACTAAGCCTCGAAGCCAGACTTACCCAGATGTGGGGCTGAGTAATGAAGACTGGGACCGGTCCACAGCCAGTGGGTAAGGTTTTCAACCAATGCTGCCTCATCCAAGATGACTACATGGTCATGTGGGCAAGATTTGACCTTCTGTACTGCCAGTGGCACATATTGTTAGTATGGGCTTCTTAAAGCCACCATAATCATCCATGCTGGCCACATGGCAGGATTCTAAAAGCTGCCTGACCAGTGGCAGCCTGAGCACCACACAACAGGGCAAGAGCTGGGTTTCCCCTAATGAAAACAGTAGTAGCACCTGGGGAGAAGCTGCTTCTGTAAACTTTGCACCCCCTTCCTTATGACAAGTAGGTTCCTCTCCTTTATTTTATTTTATTATTTTTTTGAGACAGAGTCTTACTTTGCTGCCCAGGTTGCAGTGCAATGGCAAGATCTCGGCTCAATGCAACCTCTACCTTCCAGGTTCTAGTGATTCCCATGCCTCAGCCTCCTGAGTAACTGGGATTATAGGCATGTGCCACCACATCTGCCTAATTTTTGTTTTTTAATTTTGTCTTGTATTATTTTTATTTTTTATTTTATTTTATTTTTTGAGATGGAGTATCACTCTATTGCCTAGGCTGGAGTGCAGTGGCACCATCTCGGCTCACTGCAACCTCCACCTCCTGGGTTCAAGTGATTCTCCTGTCTCAGCCTCCCAAATAGCTGGGATTATTGGCATGCACCACCACGCCTGGCTAATTTTTGTATTTTTACTAGAGACAGGGTTTCATCGTGTTGACCAGGCTGGTCTCGAACTCCTGACCCTCATGATCCGCCTGCCTCAGCCTCCCACAGTGCTGGGATTACACGTGTGAGCCACCATTCCCAGCCTATTTTTTATTTTTGAGACAAGGTCTCACTCTGTCACCCAGGCTGGAGTGCAGTGGCATGATCTCAGCTCACTGCAACCTCTACCTCCCAGGGTCAAGCAATTCTCCTGCCTTAGGCCCCCAATTAGCTGGGACTACAGGCGCCTGCCACCACGCCAGATAATTTTTGTGTTTTTAGTTATTTTTAGTAGAGACGAGGTTTCACCATGTTGGCCAGGCTGGTCTCCTGACCTCAAGTAATCTGCCCACCTAGGCTTCCCAAAGTGCTGGGATTACAGGCGTGAGCCACTGCACTGTGCCCCTCTCCTTTCTTTTAAAAGTTAGTTTCACATTAAGTTACATTTTTTTTTAAGATACCTCATGGATCCATCTTTTCAGCAAAGTATATTTTACCATTTTGTTCCTTACCAAAACATTTTAAGGAAATTTATAAAAAGTGATAGCATTTGGTTTACTTATAGTGATCTTTAAGTGGGAAAAACACATGTTTCTCTCTTAGAGAAAATTTTGATTTCTCTTTCCTTGTAGATAAGCAGCTGAAATACATTTCCAGCATTCCATCCCATTCCAATAGGGTCATCATGTGGCTGCAGCCCATTTAGCAGCAGCCACAGATAGTCTGAAATCTGGTAGTAAGACCATGGACCATACTTTCCATCTTCACAACACTGCATTTCCTAAAGCGTTCCTCTGCTGAAGCTCATATACTTGGAAGGCACAGGTGAAAGAAAGCCTGATCCAAAATGTCTGTCTGTCTTTATTTTGTGTGAGATGAAGGAGAGATATTTTGGATACGAAAAAAAAAAAGCCGGGTGCAGTGGCTCATGCCTGTAATCCTAGCACTTTGGGAGGCCGAGACAGGCGGATCACGAGGTCAGGAGATCAAGACCATCCTGTCTAAAATGGTGAAACCCCGTCTCTACTAAAAATAAAAAATAAAAATAAAAAAAGGCTGGGCGTGGTGGCAGGCACCTGTAGTCCCAGCTACTCGGGAGGCTGAGGCAGGAGAATGGTGTGAACCCGGGAGGTGGAGCTTTCAGTGAGCCGAGATTGTGCCACTGCACTCCAGCCTGGGCTATAGAGCAAGACTCTGTCTCAAAAAAAAAAAATGTCTGGCAAGGTCCTAACCCAGCCTGTGTTTCTTGACAACAGTTTTGCAGGGGCTGCCGATAGTGCAGAGACAGAACAAGAGGAGAACTTCTGGTCTCAAGCGCTGGAGGATTTGGAGACCTGCGGACAGTCAGGAATTCTGAGAGAACTGGAGGTAGCCTCAGTCCTGCTACTTACTTTTATTGTTTCTACATTCATTTTTTTTGGTCCTTTTAAGTTTGCATTTCTCACACCAGTTCATTTAAAAGCTTTAACCCTTTCCACAGGAGAAAGCTGACAGGCGTGTGTCTTTGAGAAACATGACTCTCTTGGTAGCTACCCTTTATGTTTATATTTTTGCTTGTGAAGCTGCCTTCCCTACCCCCTTGCCTTCTGGACAGCAATTTGATTTTATACAATGCAGTCAAAAGTATTTATTTCCCCATCTCCACCCCTCAAGCTTACTGACTTGTGGCTTCTGCCATTGCTCCCTGCTAACCCTGACTGTATCTGTTTCCCACCAAATCGCTAAAAAGCGAGCTAAGTCTCCCAGCAGCGGCGCATCCCATTCTCTTAGTTGCTTTAGAAAGGTTTCTTTGGCATGTTTTCATTTGTACCTGGTATAGAAATTAATTTGATCGCTAAGAGGAACATAAGAGGAAATTTTATTTTACTTTGTTTTGTCCTTAAAGTAGATGACAATGCAGCTGGTGAAAAAGGCCAGTCTATTTGATAAGCAGCAAAAATATTACATAGTACGTTGCTGTTAATTGCAAATCCTGATTCCATCTGTATTAACTTAGTGTGAATTCAAGGAAGAATGAGATGGAATGTAATGGCTGAACTCCTGGTGAGTTCTTTAATCAAAGCCATGAATTCGCTGATGGTATTCACACTTTAGTCTGGGAAGTCCTGGACTGTTTCCTTTTATGTTCTTTTAAATTTTCTGAGCTGTAAAAAATAAAGTGGCAAAAGTCTCATTTTTATTTTGATGTCTTATGAGGTCCCCAAGTCACCATAAGGAATGTGAATGGCATAATGGGGTGAAACTCTTGCAATTCTAAAATGATTACTCATCTTTATATTATTTTGCTTCTCAATTGCATGTGTGGATATTTTATGTGATTCTAATGTCTGTGAATCTGCAAAGAGAATTATGAAGAAAAATATTAGTTTGAACTTGTAAACGTCACGGTATTACCTGGCATGAACTGCAGCTTCAGAGCACAGTTAAAGGTTCTGGACATGGATAATCCTGTAAAGTCTAAATGAAGTAAGATGTTAGCAGTGATTCCTTTTTACACAACTTTCAAAAAGAACAGAATGCTTAAGTATTGGCCGGCTTATTTAAACCTGTACCACCTTCTGCATGTAGAATGATGAAGAAAAGTAGTCCAAACTGAATAATGAGCACAATTCACAATTCTTGAACATAGCCCTGCTTTTGAAAGCACGTTTTGGCTCATGCTGCTTTTTCCTTGTGCATTTTGATACTTCCCTTTTGAAGAAAAAAGTTGTTTTTCTAACAGCTTGTTTTACATTAGGCAAAAATAAAATGATGTAAAAAGTAATACAATGAGGTTCTGTTTTCACCCAGAAATTGAGTTATCTGATGAAAACAACATCCATCAGCAAGAGTAGACTTTATGTTGCCACAGCCTATGACTTTGCTGTAACATAGCTCCAGACAGGTGTGGCCCTTGACATTATTAATGCAGAAAGCAAATGAGTTGAATTTATAAGCCAAAGGGAAATTAAATCCTCAACTAGGATGAATGATTGGCAAAGTCATAAATTAGTTATATTTAGACTATTATCACAAAGCATATTTATTTATTGGTTTAAATGAACCCCATTCCCTTGATTGGAAATGCAAAAAATACTAGAGCTAGATTCTTGCATATTAAATTCACATCCAGCATTAAAAGTTAAAGCACACTATAATACTAATAAATGTAGAAGGTTAGCTAAGATGAAAGATGATTACAATTGAAATGGAAATGAAAATTAGTTTACTAATCATTTTCCCTATAGCTAGCAATAATTTAGGTTCAACTCTAGCATTGAAAAATGTATAGCTTTAACAAAGGAGAGAAATTTGAATGAGTCTTTGGACAAGTTTTTAACCTCTCATCAGATATTTCTTCTATAAAAGATGGAAATTATAATGAGCTAATAATTATGTGGCACTAAACAAGTATTCAACAAAGTATTCAGTAAAAATTAACTATTAGTATTTTTGCCCTTTCTTGATTAATGAACACTGCTTTAACTATTTTGTGTTTAGCATAATATAGGAAGAAGATTTAACTAAATGTCAGATAGAGAACTCTAGGTTGCCTTAGGGATAATATGCAATTATGAATTACGGCAAATGAAAACAGGTAATACATACTCTTGAGACCAAAGCAAATCCTAGGTAATTAAAAATAATTGTTTTTTTAGCTTTTTATTTTAGTTTTTATATTTGTTTTACCTTTTATGTTCCTTCTTAGATGCTACCTAACGTTCATTTTAAACAAAGTAATCAAATTTTGATTACTATACAGACTCACATACTTACTTGGAAATGCGAACCAAAGAATTAGTGATAGTATCTTATTTCTTCCATCAGAACCTTTTCTAAATCAATTTGTAATTTCTTCTATGGCAGCTAAGATTCATCAAAGCAAAACTGTGGTCTCCCAGATGTAGTGATTAAGTGTTTTACTTCCAACACATGTCCTGTCATTCTCATGAAAAAATGAATATTTAAAAACAGATGTTAACAAAGCAAACAACTAGTCTAAGTAGGTTAAAATAATAAATGGAGGGTCAGCATGGCAAGAAAATAACCACTGAGCACTGTCAGATACACTAGATTAAACACAGAAATGGGGCGGGCACGGTGCCTCAGGCCGGTAATCCCAGCACTTTGGGAGGTTGAGGCAGGCGGATCACCTGAGGTCAGGAGTTTGAGATCAGCCTGGCCAATGTGGAGAAACCTCATATCTACTAAAAATACAAAAATTAGCCAGGCTTGGTGACAAGTACATGTGATCCCAGCTACTTGGGAGGCTGAGGCAAGAGAATCGCTTGAACCCGGGAGGCAGAGGTTGCAGTGAGCTGGGATCGTACCACTGAACTTCAGCCTGGCGACAGAGTGAGACTCTGTTTAAAAATAAATAAATAAATAAATAAATAATAAAATAAAATAAAATATACATGAGTAAGTGCCATAAAATAAAGAATATCCCATGACACCAATGAAGCCAGTAAAGAAAGGTTTCAATCAACTTAAAAAGGGTATTTGTCTGAAATAAACTGTTATATAAACAGCCCACACTTGTTTTTAAATGCTAGGCATCTTTCTACTTACTAAAAAGGAAGTTTTATATGGTTCAACCTAACATTTCACCGAGAAGCACCGAACAGTCAAGAACGAGAGTTCTGGAGTCAGAATGCTAGAGCTCCATGCCTTGGCTCTTGGGCAAGTTGCTTAACTTGTCCATGCATCTCTTTCCTTTACTGAAATGAGGATGTATGGTAATTTTAATATCTATTGTGTAGGGTTACTTATGTATTACATGATATTCTACATACAATCTGTATGGGACTTAGCACATGTTAATGTTCAGTGATCAGCAAGTGTTTTTACAGTTATAATTTTCTTTTTCAAAATTATCAGTATGATAACTGATCTAGCCAAGATGTGAATGGTCTACTTGTTTCATTTCTTTTTCAACAAAGTTGTTAGATATATGCACATGTGTGCCAACACTTGGCTGTTGTTCAAAGATCTTGTTAATAGTGTGTGTATAGCTGAACACCAGGTGAATTTGAGAATCATGAAATCTTAGAGACGTGACAGATGAAAACTCGACTCACTTTGCAGTATTCCCTTATGATCAATAGTTTTATAAAGTGCCCTCGGCTCATTTACTACCAATGTGAGCTTGGGTGAGTCAGCCTCTTTGTGCCTCAGTTGCTTACCTATAAGTTGGGAGGAATGGCCAGGTGTGGTGACTCACACCTGTAATCCCAGCACTTTGGGAGGCTAAGTTGGGTAGGTCACTTGAGATCAGCAGTTCCAGACCAGCCTGGCCAACATGGTGAAATCCATCTCTACTAAAAATACAAAAATTAGCCGAGCATGGTGGTCCTTGCCTGTAGTACCAGCTACTTGGGAGGCTGTGGCACAAGAATTGCTTGAACAAAGAAGGCAGAGGCTACAGTGAGCCAGGATCACAACACTGCACCCCAGCCTGGGTGACAGAGTGAGAGTCTGTCTCAAAAAAGAAAATAAATAAATAAATAAATTGAGAGAAGTAATAGTACCTACCCCATAGAGTTGTTGTGAGGCTTAAATGAGTGACTACATTCAAAAGACTCAACGAGTTAAGCTTCTGTTACTTTTAGCATCAGTATTAACATAAACAACTAAATCACGTGGCAAATGGAACTTGTTTTCTGTCCGCATGGTTTCAGGCAGATTTATCAATGCTAGTTTACCTTTATACCATTACACCCAGGAGTACAGAGCTGGCTACGGGCATGTTTTCAGAATTTTAGCATTCTCCGACCATGAGAAATGAATATCCACTACTTGATATTGGTTTCAAATCCTTTTTTTTTTTTTTTTCCCCCCAGTTCTGAGCCTTGTTCATCTTTGGTATCTAATCTTGTCATTGCTTGTGAAGTATTCAGGGAAGAACATATTTGAAACCAAACAAACTTCCCAATTCACTGGTAACATCCAATTCAAGTCCTACTGCTTGTGAGCAAAAAGTTGAATATAAGAACATAATAAATGATAATAAATGAAAAGATTCTCTGAGGATCTTATACAAAGGGTATTTCTAAGAAACATTTAATCTGTACCAAATAATATGGAGACTTAGCTGGTCTACAAACTTTGGGGACAGGCCATTTGGCCACAGGAAAGACAATATTCAGTGCTAGACAGACGCCTGGGAAGAACCCCTTGCCTTTATATCAGTCATCCCATTCCAACCCATTGTTAGCTGCCGTTGGAGATAGAGGCAGCATTGCAAGTACAGGCAGCCTGGTGTCCATTGAGAAGTTCTTGGTTCATTTCTGTAAGATATATTCAAGGTGGCCTCATGAATCCCATCTGTTAGAACCCACTCAGTGGAAAGTTAATGCTTAAAATGTAGTTTACAGTAAGCAAATGTTAGAGCATTTCAATTTGCCTCAAAACTGCCAGGGGTGGTATTTGATTAAATAAACTCAACGGCTTAAGTACTTAAATTGGATTTGAGACGTGCATTATAAATGTCACTTGCAAAGCATTTTCCAGACTTTCATAGTTCCATTAGTACATCCATTCTCCAGCCTTTGGTTTTGCCCTGAAGAGACTGTATTTTTACCTCGCAGAAGGATAAATGTGCTTACTGTTGGGCACCAAACCCTTTCCTTAGTCCATGGCTTAACTGTTTCTAAAAATTGTCAATGCCACAGGCAACAATCATGTCGGGGAGCACGATGAGTTTGAATCATGAGGCTCCAACACCTCGCAGTCAGCTGGGGCGACAGGCCAGCTTCCAGGAGCGCAGCAGCTCGCGGCCACACTACAGCCAAACAACTCGGAGCAACACCCTGCCTTCAGATGTGGGTAGGAAGTCAGTAACCCTGAGAAAAATGAAACAAGAAATAAAGGAGATCATGTCTCCAACTCCTGTGGAGCTGCACAAGGTCAGTAAGCTTTCTCTTCTTTCCCTTAGGGTCATATTTGGCAGCCATTCTCCATAGCATGTATGCCCGGATGTAAGCATGGCAATGGTATCCTCCTGTCGGCTCAGCCAAGCAAAGAAGCTTAATGACAGATATTCAGAGACTTTGTTCTCAAAATACAATCCCTGGGAGGTTATCCTGAAAAGCAGGGAAAATTGGCTTTCAAAAAATGTATTTATCAAAAATGTATTTATGATGTCTGGGTGTGGTGGCACACACCTATAATCCCAGCACTTTGGGAGGCCGAGGCAGGCGGATCATTTGAGGTCAGGAGTTCAACACCAGCTTGGCCAACATGGTGAAACCCCGTCTCTACTAAAAATACAAAAATTAGCCAGGTGTGATGGCAGGCACCTGTAATCCCAGCTACTTGGAAGGCTGAGGCAGGAGAATCACTTGAACCCGGGAGGCGGAGGTTGCAGGGAGCCAAGATTGTGCCACTGCACTGCAGCCTCGGTGACAGAGCAACACTCTGTTCCCCCCCCCCCGCCCCCCAAAAAATTATTTATGGCCAGAATCTTCTTACAAAAATTTGAGGCTCCAGTGTCACACGGAGCTTGCATAATTAGTCTATTGTTCCAGTCTCATTGGAAGGGGAGAGAATTTTCTAAATGTCATACACTCATAGCTTCACAGAAAAGGGGGTTCAGGTTCAATGTAAGGAGGTTTAATCTTTCATTACAGACTTACAGTAGATAGTTATATTGTTCAGGAGACATGGAGATCTCTCCAAGATGTGTTAGATGGTCTTGGGCCAGGATAAGGCAAGCCCTAGTTATGTTCTGTCTCTGACTGTGATAGTTGCCTCACTTTGCTACATGGAAGAAAACCCACTCTTGCACACAAAGTTGAATTCAAGATTTGCTGGCAAGGTTAACCAAGGCATATGTAAGTAACAGTGTTTGTGGAACCCTGGGCCAAGGAGAGCAGTGGAGATCTAGTGTTCTTTTCTAGAGTGAGTGCTTTATTTTTTGTTAATATATAAGGATGTATAAAATGGTAACAATCTCATGCCATCTTTCTTGAGAACCAAGACATATTTTGTGGTTAATAATCTATTAGCTAGATATTCGTTATCTTATCCAGAAGAGCAAATAAATGTGATTCAGAGGAGGCAATAGGCTAGCTACTCGCTTTTTTCCTCTAAAGACCTCAATTTCCCTAGCCACCTTATTAAACCTAGCTATTTGTTTTGCAATTGACAAGGATATTGTGAGAGAAAGGATAGTATGGGAAGTTGGGTTCTGAACTTTGTGTTCCAATCCTGGGTTCATTCTTTCACCACTCACTCCTCCATTCATTTAATACCCATCCTGTGCATTCATTCACTCAAAGAATGTATTACAAATCCCCAGGGAGTACAGAGTCTAGTGAGGAGACTGCTTGGGAAACAGAGGGATGATAATGGCATCAGTCCAATGACAGAGGCAAGCCTGGGCAGCCTTGAGGGTGGGCCCTAACCCACTATCAATGGACAGAAAAGACTTCCTAGAAGTAGGTGTTGACTATGCAGAGGAAGGTAAAGGATGGGTGGGCATTCCAAGTACAGAGAAAAGCAGGTGCAAAGGGGTGTCAAAGATTGTGGTTCATTGAGAGAGGGGATGCAAATAGTCTAACACGACCAGAGCCTAGAATTGGAAGCTTGTGTGTTAGGAGGAATTACAGACTAAGAGAAAAAGCAAAGACATTTCTGACATGTTAGGATGATGACCCAGGTTTAGGCCTCAGCCACAAATTAGCTTGTTTATCCAGTTACCCTAAATTGATGTGTCTGATTGGTAAGTTACATATCCTAATATACTAATTGACATACACCATTAGGCTGTAGGAAGTCCAATGGTGATTAAATTGCAGAAGCCACATATTCCGTCCTAAGTCTGCTGTACCAAGAAGAGGGCTGGTACCTGCGGGTTCCCTCAGGTACCTGTGAACACTGCCTTCCCCTCTTCTGTACAGTTCTGTTCCCCAGAGAAACAGGAGCCTGCTTGATAACCCACCTTCCTTCACCCCAAAGAGAATCCATATCAACATGTACTGAGTGCCTAGCAAGTGCTATATACTTCACATTTTCAGTCCTCACTTATACAGGATAGACAAATAGCAAGTATAAAATAGAGTCATTTTTTTCCTTTGGAGTGAAACATTCACCTCCAAGGAAGAAGATTATTGATAGCCCAGGAATACAAAAGACCTGTTTTCTCATCCCTCCTTCACTGAAAGCATTTAGCAAAGATAATGACAATGAATTGGATGTGCAAGTGTCGTTATAGCCGAGATTTAAAATGGCTCTGCTAAAAAATATATAAAAAATAAAAAAAAGTATCATCCACTTACTGGCATAATGAGTGGCTGTGGATGGACTGGTTGGAACATTTGTGTGGCAGTGTGTGAACTGTGAGACCCTGAGATCACAGACACGCATGAGCCAAATTGACCTTATAAGTAGGATGCTTCTTTTTTCCTTCACTTCTGTCATTTTCTCTAAATGGTGACAATGTGTACATATCCCATGAAGCTTCACTTTTTTTTCTGAATTGATCCCCAACAAAATAAGACTCTAAAAAATAAGTGGTGTCCTAGACACTGCAAGCCCCCTAAAATGACCTAGTTAAGTGAAGATGTAGCTGAGATGCCTGTGGCCAGATACTATGGAATTATTGGAGTGATTTATGCTCACATCTTGGGTTTCTATTCTTTTTTAAGGACTTCACTTACTCTGATAGGCCATCCAGGATGTTTGTTAGTAGGCACATCCTCCAATTTTGAAGGGCTGGAGTGGAGATATGGTCATTACAAAAGCTACTTAGAGCAAAGAGTGGTGATTGCATGTGTGTTGAATGTGGGTGTCTTTTGAACACCGAAAGACTACCTGATGTCATGAAAAGGCACAGTGACTTGTTAAAGGAATGGAGCTCTCTTCCCCTGGGGTACTGCTAGCCTATATTAAACCTTTGTGAACATTAGGAAAAGGTACTCTTTTGTGGTGGTGGCATGGAGAAGGGAGCTAGGGAATGAGAAAAACAGCTTCCTCAAATTGAAGATAACCCAAGCCACAGTGCACAGCTGGTTTTCAGTCCCCTGAGCCTCCTTGGTACTCTTTTCCAAATGGACCTAGTGGAGGAATTCCCAAGGGGCTGGAAAGACCAGAGTGGAGAAGCTGGGAGAGATGAATAGCACACCGGGCTAAACATGCTTGGCATTATTTTCCTGGTGCTGTCTTTCTGGTGGCTCTTTCTCACATGGTTAGGCTGTATGCAGGAGAACAAGTGGTGAGCCTGTTCATATCTAGACCAGCACCTGTGAAACCTTATTATTTTCACTATAAGTTGGATCAAGATAATATGAATGAATGGAAAAGGATCTGTGCCATTGCTGGGAGGAAAAATAGCTAAAAACACTCCAGCTCCTGCAGGTGGGTTACTAACATCATCTCCATACGGAAAGAATAATGCATTGGCTCACCTTCCAGCTTCTGAGGTCTCAACCTACTCTCCAGAGTTTGCCCCTCATTTTCTACCCTTTCCTTCCTGCCACTTCTCTTCCTCCAGACCTTTGGAAGATCCCCAGGTCGGAATCTAAATGGTTTTCACTCACTTCTCATCATCTGCTACGTCTGAGGCTCCACTGGGGTCTTGGCAAGCCTTCCTTCAAGTTGTCCATATTCATTCCTGAAGCCGAAAAGCCGGTTGTCATGCCTGACACTGGAGAACAAAGAAACACAGTCTTATGTCCTTTTTGTAGACATGGGAGGGAAGTGGAGCTGGAGTGATTTGGAACTCAGTGTGGGGATAGAGAAAATGATAAATGGGTCACAGGGAAGTGATCTTCATGTCCTTTTAGGCCACTGTTTCTCCAACTTTCTCAGCTGGGATGCACAGTCTGAAATATATTGTACCTCACAATTCACTGCACATGTATACCCACATTCATATATGTGAATGAATCTAAAAATTGCACAGTATACACTGACATTTTTCTGTTTTTTCTTCTGTTTCTTTTCAAATGCTAATCTCACTAAGCTGACTTCAAGACTTATTAGTAGGTCTCAACCAATAGTCTGAGGATTAAAGCCTTAGACAGTAGTTTGGAGTGTGAACCCCGATGACCTTTTCCATGGGATGCTTGTTAAAATAAGGGTTCCTAAGCCCAGCACAGACTTAACGCATCAGCATTTTCGGGGAGTGTGGGCCAAGAATCTATATTTTAGCAACCTTTTCAGTGGATTCTTTTGCAGAATAGAAATTGAGAATCACTCCCTTAGATTTTGATAACTGGAGGTGATAACTGTTTCAGTGAAATCATAGGCAACAGCTGGGTGGCAGGGTACAAAGGAAATGAGGCTGCATCTAAGGCCCTGGAGCTTCTGCATTTTATCTTTCAAATGAATTCTGGTTTGTACTGCAGCTTACCACAGATTCTCTCTCTTCGCAGGTAAGGGGCCTGTGATCTCAGCTACTGTTCATTGATAACCTTTCTTTCCCTTCTGAAGCTTAAATATTCTTTGGTGTCCACTTAATCTGTTTCTGAAATGAGTTCTAGCCTCACTTCTTTGCACACCTTAAGGCAGAACGATTTTTTGTAGATGGAAAGTTCTCCACATGCAGAGCATTTGGACTTTTATAAAATTCATATTGAGGCTGGGCATAGTGGCTCACACCTATAATCCCCATACTTTGGAAGGTCAATGCAAGAGGATCGCTTGAGCCCACAAGTTAGAGGCCAGCCTGGGCAACGTAGCAAGACCCTATGTCTACAAAAAATGAAAAAATTAGCCGGGCATGGTGGCTTGCACCTGTAGTCTAAACTACTCGAGACGCTGAGGCGAGAGAATCACTTGAGCCTGGAAGGTCGAGGCTTCATTGAGCTGTGATTGAGCCAGTGCACTCAAGCCTGGGTAACAGAGCAATACTCCCTATCATATTGACATTTCCTTTTGCTTTGCCATTCATGCTTTTCAATAC